GGGGGGGGGGGGGGGGGGGGGGGGGACCCAAGTGATTGAGATTTCATTACAATATGCTAATATACATACACACATAGTTGGGGGTAGGGATTCTTGAAAATTTGTTGTTTAAAATAGCATGACACTGACACTTAAGTTTTTTTTAATACAATTTAAATCAAGAACAAACATGTTTCTTGTACATTTTGCATGGAGAGAGAAATAAGGTAACTTAGGGTAGTAACTTAACAGAAGATAGTACATCTGAAGAATTCATCAAGAGTCATCCATCCTCAACAGATGCACTGTGTTATAAAGATCAGCTGTTACTATGCCTGGACATATTTACATGCACTAAATTTACTAATGAGTGAGTTTTGGGCTCCACAGTATTTCTTATGAACTTGGCACAATCATTTGATCAGTAAGGGCATAACTTCTTTCCATTTCTCTCCTTAATTATGGCAAGAAAATAATTCAAGTTTCATCATACTTATTTGCAGATTTGTCCCAAAGCATGAAATAGTAACAAAGAACACAGGAAAAAAGTCTAAACAAGAGTCTAACATTCTGCTTGCAGACTGATCTTGTTATATTTTTCTTAAAAAAAAAAAAAAAAAAAAAAAAGCTACCTTGGACTGGAAGGCCTAATAAGATGGTTGCAGAAGTATGCCAGAGACTTGCAACCAGAGCTAAGCAGAAGTTTAGAAAAAGCTTTTTATTTTCCGTTCTCTAAAAGAATTGCTCATGCATAACATCTGACTGATTACCTTTAACATTGGAATTCCAAACATCCTAAACAAGGTTGTAATTAATCACACTTTCTTTTAAAGAAAGAGCAATGTTATATTAACTATAAAAAGTTGCAGCTTCTTCTCAAAAACTGTAGCAAAAACCCCTTGCTGAGAGGGGGAGAGAGTTTGCACCTAGGAAGACTTGAACATTTTGCTATTCACAAGTTAATGAAGAAACTGCATTCATTTTAAAGGCACCATGTATATATTTCAATGAAATAAATGTTTCAAAGTTTTCATCCTTGTTTCTATGCAAAGCATGGGCTTTAAGGACAAAGCACAAGTTTGTCTACCATCCATTATTACAAAAATAAATCCCAGCGGCTCCAAGTAGTTGGCAACAGGATGCAAAAAACAGATGTGCCTCACCCATCTGTTATATTCCTGATGGAGTTGGATAGATTCCTGGATGTTGGGAAGCTGTGTTTGGTGGATTATGCAAAGTGGTCTCCTTGTACACAAACCAAGCATTTCCTCCCCACAACATCATGTTAAGTAATCCAAAAACCTATGGGTTTAAAAAAAAAGTAAAAATTAAGAACCTCCTTATAATGCAAGTAGCAGCATTTGGCTTATAGCATTGAAGCACTCTGCAATTATGAATAGCCCAGTTAATGATCTTTCTTTTGTGAGGGTCTGCTAGCAGTATCGTAGCAGGATGGCTGGAAAGCACCCACGCTGCAGAGATCCTTGTTACCGGATGCAAGACATTATACAATTCCCTCATTCACTGAATGAACTCTGTTTGCCTAACAACATATTATTGTTCCAATCCCTACTGGTTTAGTGAACAGCTTATGTGAACTCTACTTCTTACAGTGCAATGTTGTGGGTACTGCTGTTGGTGCTAGTCCTTAAGCTTCAGCAAGAGGTGGGAGGGAAGCTGTCTATCCATTACCAGAAAATTAATCATGAATGATTAAATGAATCTTTGTATTGGGGTTTAAAGAACTTGGTAGATGTGGTTAATACAAAGACCAGGCTCAATACCAAGAATAAAAAGGAGTCAAGAATTTACTTCTACTTAGGACAAACAATGATCACAAACACTGGTACTAGACAAATCTGATTACTCCAAAGAGACTTCTAGGCTGTGAAGAGAGAAGGTGTAAAAAGCTAAAAGGGGAAGGTACTGGAAGAGGTATTTTCAGTAACTTGGGAAGCTATTTCATGAATAAAACAGTTCTTGGTAAATCATAAGAGGAGGCAGGCATTTTAGTAAGTGCTTTGCAATAGTACAAAGCCCATGAAGAAGTTCAGTCAGGCCCCAAGTGGTCACCAACACCTATAAGCTTCACTGGATGAAATTCTACAGGTAGACAGAATAAGAGGTTTTGCTTGTATTAGTGCAGGATGATAGCACTGCAAGGCTTTACATACATACCACAGACACATTCAGTCCTCCCATGCTGGTGACTGAAGCAAACAAACAAGTTGATCCTGGCACTTGGCAAGCTGCAATTTCTGGAACAATGCTGAGACCAGTGGATATTTTGATATCAGTAAGTGCCTTAGCCCAGGCCGAGGTACTGACCAGCCATAGAAAGGCACCAATGACGGTAACAACAAAGTCCTACAGAAAAAAAAAGAAAAAAAAGAGAACTGCTAAATCAGTTACTAATTTACAAAAAAACCCATGCCACAAAACAAGAACTACACATACAAAACTCAGCCACCTTCATGTGAAGGGGAAACAACGAAAGCATCAGGCTTACCATCAAATCAAAATAAGGCATTGACAAGAAAAGCAGACAATTTCACGTTCTTGCAATCTTGGTAACAAAATTGGTATACATCAGACCCCCTTACATCTTTTGTATGCTCAAGCTCTAAGCGTTCAACCTAGCAGTTGAGATGGGAGGAAATAACTTCTCCAAGTACCTGTTCCCAAAGTAGTAATTATTTAAACCAAGAACAGCATTTCAGACAGCTATTAATTTATTCCCATCCATAATGCCACACCATTCCCTCACCCCCTTTTAAAAATATATGTAATATAGATACACATTTAAAAAACAATGCATTACATTTCTTTAATCATTAGTATTATATTGTAATTATATTTTAGTATACAGGGACCATTTTGAATTGCTGCAGGAAAGGGAGGGAGGGGGTGAAACAAAGCTGTATTAGAAAACATGAAACTTTATCAGCGTCATTTTCTCAATACACTAGGAAGGGGGCAGGGAGGAAGGCATCTTGTGCAGCTCTGTACTTAGTAGCATATTGGGGTGGGGAGTGAACACCTCACCAGAGGCAGCCCCTGGGGACCCTATGCCACAGGGTTGCTGTTGCCAGTATGTGCCAACCCTATTCCTCAGCTGCAGCAGCCTTGTGGCACAATTCCCCAGGGACTGCCCTGGGTGCTCATTTTATTGACCACTCCTTCCCCCTAAATGTTACTGGGTCAGGAGGAGCCACTGACTGTGGCAAAAAACACCTAAAAGAACTGGGGGAGGGAGGACACTATTCTGCTCAATCCCCACCCCCAATCTACTGAGAACAGAGTTGTGTAGCTTCTATGGCTGGATGGCCCAGAACTGCACCTAGCATAGCAAAGACTCTGGGGAGGAGGGGACATGCCAGTGCCCCCTGCTACAACTGGTGGGAGAAAAGTCTGCTCCTCAGCTGTAGCAGCCTAAGCCCATGGTACTACAGCAGCAGCAGCCGCCGCCGCCAGACTACACAGAGAGCTGGGGCAGGTGAGGATCCCCCCTACCCTACTGCCTCAGCCCTCCAGGAATTGGTATGCTGCCCAGGCTCTGCAGGAGCTCACTAGGCCTCTGGTTTTTGATTGGAGTGTTGTATTAGACAACCACCATTTTGTTTTGTTTCATTCTAAAATTGAATAAAACCCACCGATTATTTGCACATCAAACAATAATGGCTATTAGAACAGTAATTAATTTTTAAACTGCTCTTATTTTGCCTCCCAAACTGGAATAAGTTATAAATAGTTTTCTGTGATTATAGTTGCATCCATCTACAAGATAGGGACTTGGTTCTTTAATCATACTGGTATAGCAAAGATTGCAAGAGCTCTCCAATGCAGAAATGGACCTGCTGTGGCCAAGGACTTGATTTTACAGACAGGTAGGTCTCTTAAGCTACCTACCATACCACAGAAGTTTAACTTTTGTTCTATAAAAGTGCTCTAGTTCTAAAAGTCCTTGCATTTAAAATCGTAGATTAGAAGTAACGTCATGTTATCCAGCTGGTCCCTTAACTTGCACAGGCAATATTCATGGTCTTGAAGTTTTTTTTCCCTCCCCCACCCCAAAGGAAAGCCTCTGCAGTTTATGACCACAGATGGAAAAGAACTGCAGGACCAACATACAGAGAGCTTCTTGCAGATGGGTATTTCTGCAAGAGAAGTCACTCTACCTTTATACACATGTGAAATATTTATATACAATTTCCCGTCAACTACTGTTTTAAACCAAAAGTTTTTTTTAAAAAAAATTTTATTTTAAAAACCAAAAGCAGTAAAAAAAAGCGGTGGGGGGTAAAGAATAGTGACCTTTACACATCCATTCAATGCGTCTACAATTATACCATATATTTATAATTGCAGTACTAACTTGCTGCCACCACCCCTGCCCCCCACCATCAGATCTGCAAGTGCAGATCTTTGGGGCCTGGCTCAGATTCCTACTGATTACAGGCCCACATATGCAGATGCTATTGCAGAATCTATGCCTTGCTGTTTTTTTGTTGTTGTTGTTGTCGTCATCATTCAGGGTTAGAGGCACAAAGGAATTTAAGCCTAAGTGCTACTGCAGGCATTTATATGCAAAATTTAAACCCTCAAAAAAAACTCTGTTATCACCTGGAAGAACCCAGGTTGACATGAAGTCTTCCCAGCAGGTGCTTGCAGTTCTGCTTTTAAGCCTGCTCAAAAGTGCCTCAGTCTTGACTGTGCTAAGCAGTTTGGCATCTCACACCAAAGTTAATCAAGTAAGATTTGCAAACTAGACAATCTTCTATTTGCATCACCAGCAAGGTTGAGCCCAGTAGATATCCTCACAACATATGGCAGAATGGGCTGCACACTATGTTGGAGAGTATGGAGTCTCCTCCTTTATCCAGCAGCATAATAATTATCGCATTCATCCAGGGTGAAAGACCTGGGTTCAATTCCTTGCTCTAACAAAAGGGAATTTGAACCTACATCCAGTACTTCCAAAGACGGCATACAATAAAATTATTTAAGCAAGGACTCTCTTACAAGTCTTCCCCATCCACTCAAATAAAGAGTCCCGCTCACTTAATGAATAATTACCCCATGCAAAACTGGTATTCAGACATACTTATTCCAAAACAGAAAGCCACAAAAGATAAAAGACAAGCAACTAAAATAACTTACAGTTAGCGGGATTTTGCTGTTGCTCCGATACACATGCATGTACCCAACGTAGAGAACAAGGGCAGCAATACAGTATAGGAATGCCAAGACTGCAACAGCAACGAAGAACTGTGCAGAAGAGGAGAAGTCACCCACAAGATAAGTGTCAGTCCAAGTGCTGTTGCATCGTGTGGGATTTGGTGCACTAAATAAAGCTGTATTCAGTCTGGAAAAAACAGGTCTCATTAGTGTTGGTTGCCTAATTGGAAACCTCAACATGGTCCAACTTAAAGTGAAGAAATGCTTTCAAGTAATCCCAGTTGTTCCTCAGAACAGCAGAGTTTTCTGACTACCAAATGAAGTTGCACACAGTTTAAAATATGTTTATGAATTAAAACCTCAGTGCAGAAATTGCTACAAGGTACATTTAAAACAAGTGGCCAAGGAAAATTATGACCTAAATTTAAGCTATTTCAAATTTAACTATTTCAAGCTTACTTAAACATACAAGTCCCAGGTACAAGATACTGATCAAGACTCACCTCATAAGGCAAGTTCAGTAGTCAGCAGAGCTCTTGATAAAGATGACAACCCTCAACACTACTCAATAAGCAGACCAATTAAATAAATGCATCCTTCCCCACCCCTCACCCAACCAAATGGATGATTTACCCTGGACACTGGGGCAGTGAATCCTACAGGCTTTACTAGTCAGTAGCAGGCACCAGCTAGAGCCTCAGGCTCACACTAGGTCCCAAATCATGCTTAGATGACTGGGGCCTTGGCCTGACTTTCTTCTTCATTTCTCTAGCCTTCCTTGCTCATCTCTGCCAAGGGGTCTGCTTACTAGTTTTTGGTCTCCCTCTCCCATCTCTATAAAAATATTGTTCAGTTCTTGCTGTAGTTTGTTACAATTACAACATTAACCTTGCCATACTAGTTGGAATCCACTAACTATGGAAAATACTATGTATATTTGCCTATTTAGCCCTTAGACTTTTTCTGTAATGGGGACAGCATTTTGTTTAAGTTTGGTCCTTCAGTATAACTAAATCTAATCCACAGAAAAAAAAACCCAGAAGACTTGTGTAATTAGAGGTTTTACTCCCCTCCCCCAAACATAATATTTCATTGGGGTGGGGGGGTTCAGTAGTATTGATTTCAAAGACAACATCAATAAGGAGACAAAAATGAAGGGGACTCCAGGGGGGGGGAAAAAAAAAAAATCTAATTCAGGTATCAAAATACACAATCTGGAGAGGATGGAGACTAGCATCTTCAGTATTCACATCTGTATGACTACTGAAAAGCAAACTAGATGCATGTTTTAGGGAAACGGTAATTAAAACAAGTCAAAAAGGATGAGCTCACCTGAAAGGATAGGCAAAAACAGCTGTAGCTGTTTTGTTTATAGCACCTTGGCAGGAAACTAAAATTGTAGTTGCACCTTTATATCCTCCACATGTGGCAAAGGCAAAGATGGAAAAAATCTATAGAAACAGATAGAGAATGTTAGTACTAGTTTTCACACTCAAAGGAGTCACCAGGAGGAAGATAAATCATTGACAAAGCTTTTGTTCATCAAATTCAGCTTCCCCAAGCAAGTCACCCAGTAAAGCAGGGCTCCATTAGGCAAGTTTTGAAACACTAGTCTGCAGAGCTATAAGCAGTTAACCTGTTTCTCAAGCTCTGATACACATACACATCATTATACTTACAAGATTTCTTTCTTTGCAGGCAGTACAAACTCAGTGTTTAAATAGATTGACAAGAAATGTGCATTTCCTCATTGCAACCGAGATGCTTTGGATTTAAACATACCACTGCCGCTTAAAAAAAAGCAAAGTCAACTTAAAAGTGAAACTGATTATTTGTGGCAAGCACCTGTTGCACTCCCCACTCCTGAGTAGCATAAACAGGGAGGGGAAAAAAAAATAAAAAGGGTCAATTTAAGTGACCCAGGGTACTTGTAACACAATGATAAAAGCCTGTTTTTAGAACTTTTTTTTTCTTTTTGAGTTCAGCATTATTATTTAACTTGGACTGCTTGTGTCCAGAGCAGACTACTCGTGCACTTGCCCAGAGAAACAAGGCCTGCCTTCAGATGTGCCAGGCACATGCGGCCTTGTGGAAGCAGCAGGTGCTCACAGCATCACTTAAATCTACCACAAACCCACAGCTTTCACATCAGTGAAACTCATCTTTTATATGCAACTTTCTGAACAGCTCTTAATTTTATCTTACTCAATAAACCTGCCCCCTGCACACACACACACCCACTACACAAAATACCCCATCCGCAGCATAGTAAATCTACACTTTTCCTTATTTTTGTAAAAAAGGGGAGGGGATACACAGCTCTTTTGGAAACAGTGGTTAGCAGACAATGGATCATACTTCTTGGTTAGAAACAGCATACTACCACCTTCACAATTCACGTAAATAAGTCAGGCCCAAGCAAACGCCACCCAGCTGAAAGCATTGGCTCTTATCAGAAGGAGCCCTGTAAACCAAGCCCAGCAGCCATGAGGCAGGACAGGGAAACAGGAGCCCTTCCAGGCGAAAAGGGCCCCAAGGAAGAGACTCGGACCCCTTCTCTCTTATCCACCAGCTAGCACAGGAGAAAACAACTCGCCTCTAGGCTTTTCTCTGCCCATCAAAACTCACCCATTCAAGGACCCTCACGAAGCCAAGGGGCTCCATGAACAGGCTGACATCAACCAGGAGCCCGTACATTTTCTGAGAAGAAAAAGGATAGCAATCAATCAAGCAGAAGGGGGAATTGGAAAAAGGCACTGCAAGCAGCAAGAAGGACTGGAGAAAGAAAGAGGCCCAGGCAGGCCCACCTACCCTGGTCAACATCCTCCCCTGACAGCCCACCACTCTGAGTGGAGGGGCTCTGTAGGGCACCTCCCTATGTGGCCTGCCTGGTCCTGCCACATCCAATCACAGCCCTTGTCACTCACACTCCTCCTACCCCCCCCATCACCTCACAATGGGGCTGGGGGCGTGGCAGCTGCTGGGCTCCTCCCCTGAGCAGCATAGTTGCCCTGCTCCAAAGGCCTGTAGCAGCAAAGCTGATTGCTGCCTGCAGCCTGCTTCGGTGTAGGGCCCTTGCAGCAGTGTCTGTGAGGATGCATGGCCTGTTTAAGGAAATGTTCATGGTGTGAGAGCTGAGCTGGGCTCAGGGCAGCGGTTCTGGGGCCACAGGAAGGCAGAGATAGGCTCACAGGAACAGTGTTTAACTGTTGCCTGAGCTGCAATCTCAGTTAAAGTTGGGGAGGGCGAGGTGGAGCTGGTGAGATGAGCAAGTGCAATGAGGGGGGTGAGGTGCACCTGGGCTGGGTGAGCTGCTGAGAGAAGAGGAGACCTGGGTCTGCCGGGGTGGGAAGTCATCTCTGTCCTCTCTTCTTTCCTTTAAGCAGTGCTCTGAGTGCTGCTACAAGGGCTGATGAAGGCACCTTCCTTGCAGCTCTGCTTTCCCTGTCTCACAGCCTGTCCTTGTATGGGTAAAGCAAAGAGCCAGTTGTGGGGCGAGGGGGAGGTACATATAAAATAGAGGCAGCAGCCTTCATAGCTACATCTACAGGAGGGAGGACAGGTATCCAGCATTTTTCACCGGGTGGCTCTCTGCTCAAATCCGCCTCAATGATCTGAGAATTTGCAGCTCTCATTTCTGTGAGGACAGTCTGCCAGATACCTTTTATGGCACCATTATGGCTTGCAGTCCACTGAGTGAGGACGGCTGATTTAGGGAGCTACCTGGAGGTGTGAGAGCACTCTTAGAGACCACCTTCTGGATGTGAATGCCTCATTAGGCCTGTAACTCAGAAGCAATCCTTGCAAAATGGCTGAAAATCATCTTGTGACTACCATATCCAAAGAACTGTATGAAATTTCAAGCAATTTTCTAGGCAGTGGGTCAATAAGGAAGTAGAAAGGAGGTCTATGTGGGGCTGTGGGTTAGCAGCGCTGCTGTGTGCAGACCTGATAAGTTTTCAGTTTTGTTTTATCCCACCCTCTGCTTCCACTTCCTCTTGAAGGGAGATGAGGGAAACTGCTCTCTAATGATAACATGAGGAGAAATAGTGCAAGTAGTCAGAGTAGGTAATCAGATGAGATGTATGCTGGGCCATGTACTAAGTGAAACAACCCCTTGCTCCTCCCTAGAGGAGCCAACTTGAGGGGGTGGGGGAAAATGGAGAGGATTATCTACCTGAATGCTGACTAAAGAGAGACAGGATACAATCCCCTCCTGGGCATTTCAGCAGCAGCTTCATAGTTATGAGTAAGGTAAATTTTGAACTTAAAGCAGGGATTCTCTTATTTTCTGCATGAAAATTACAGCTTATTGTTCCCAATTTTTTTAGCTCTTACTGAGTTTTGAATGAATTTTCTGAGATTTTACAAATGAATCTCTTAATTTAGGAGTTAAAGTGAAAATGGATTCTTTATCCAAACCCAGTGGCATAGTTTGATTTTGGCCTTGAATGATCTTGATGACAGAATGATGCAGACTTTTTAAACTACCTCTATAATTAAGTTATTGGAAGTGTGCGCATCAATTATATTAGGATTTTTTAATCATCTGTGTTTATGATTGTGCGTCAAAACTGAAAGTTTATTTTTCAGCAGAAGATAGAGAACTAAACATGCCATCAGAAAACTCATGGGTTAATCAAGCTCTGCCATAGTGGTTATCACTTCCCACTTTCTTCAGTGTGAACTAGGCTCCAGGCTGCCTTCCGCTGAGCTCTCTCTAAGGGCAGCCACTTCTTCATAGGCAAGTGAAATCAAGCTGTTCTCAGGGACTTTACTGATCCCTTGTGGTGCCAGGACACAGGGATGAACTTCTTGAGGAGCTGGTGAATAGAAATGGTGGCCATCTTCCCTAAGAACAGCCTGTGGCCTCCATCCCTTTGAAAAGAAAAGATAGCAATAATTGTTATGAGATTTTAAAAGTTTAATTTTTTTCTGAAGAATAAACTTTCAGTTAAGGAAAAGAAGGACAGGTGGTTAATCCTTAAAAAATCCTAAAATGTAGACTATTCAGAAGTCTTATGTCCTTTCCCCTACTATATAAAAGCCCTTCTTTCTGCTAGTCCATTCAGAGTATCTGACAAAGTAGGCTGTTGCCTATAAAAACTCATGCCTCTCTGAACCACTAAGGTGCCCTCCCCCTCCCCCTTCTTCCTGAATTCAGACTAATGTGGATAACCAACGTTCGCCCTTCCCTCTCTCCCCAAAGAAAACTTATGGAATTAATTGGTTAGACACAGAACTACTGTCCCCATTGTCCATCTACCCTGATCTCTGTAGCTTCAATTGTCTCCTTCCTGAGTTTGAGCTGTGCAACAGATGCAACAGAGCCTGGGCACACCAATAACTGATCCTGGCTCAGAAGTATGCAAGCTTCTGTCTTTTTCTAATGGAAGACTGGACTGGACCTCGAGGGCATCCTGGGCACTGGACCTGATGAGCTCTACATCCATGTTGGACTGCTCCTAAGGACTCAAATAAGAACAGCTATTGTTTCATTTTAATCATAGCCACTGTCTATGGGCATTCACCACTTTTCCCTTTCTTGGCACAAGCCCTCTTACAATACCCTTTTACTTCATTCATGTGTCTGAGAGGATATTAGGACCTACCACAACACACCTTCAGAGCCTTTAGTACTTGTTTTTAAGTCATGATGCACTTTGGGGGCTACTAGTACCTTAGGACAGAGAAGTTACAACAGTGACCTTTATTGGAAGTTGAAATGCTTCTGGGGGAGTGATGATATTTGAATAAAAGGTGCTAGCTTCTGGCCAAGAATGGAAAGAGGTGCAGAATCTGAGAATAGTAATGACAAACCAATCCTTAAAAATGGGCTTACAATGCTTCAGGAACTGGCAGAAAAGACATGAGAAAACATTTTTAAGAATCACAGGGCAATTCCCAGGGGTGGATATATTACTTAATCCATTGTTTTCTTCTTGGGAAATAAGTCCCATTATGAATCTCTGTAAGCAGGGATGAAGGGAGAACTGCAGAGGAGTCATTCATTATCTGGTGCTGTATATTAGTGTACACTAGTATTTTCCTTCAAATTTCACAATGGCAGGAGTGCTACTTCGGGCTGGCTACTGCTATTTTAAATACATTGGGTCTACTCCTGATTCCACTTGTCAATGGCAAAACTCCCACTGCCTTCTATATCAATAGGAAGGAAGCTGTATTTCATCTTGACTGTGTAGATGGGACCATGCCATGTTGTAACTCGATCTGTGAGAAAGATGCAGATCCTTACTTCCTTGAATCTGAAAATGCCCAGTCTGATATGAGAATGCATCACAGTCCTACAAAGGTGAAACTAGCTATTCTGGTCTGCCAAGATGGACAGGAAGGGGTAGGGAGGAATGCCAAGTGTTGAAGAACAGGGAGTATAGAACACTACAGGATGCTGCTGGTGCCCTCTAAATCGACACCCAGGCTATTGCAGTCCAATATAACAACACTTCAGTTAAATAAAGAGTAGATGAGCCCGCTAAACTTCTGTAAAGAAGAGCATCTATGCCCTATAGTGGCTACCTAGAACAGGAATCAAACAAAACTCCTGGAGATGTGCCGATACAAATCCAGGTCATTTCTGGAAGCTAGAGGCCCATCAGCTGTGAAACTAAGTCAAAAGTCTGCCTGAGTCTAGATAGAATCATAGAATCATAGTGAAGTAGGACTTGAAGGGACCTCTGGAGGTCCTATTGGGCCAGTGTTCATATGGCTAACAATGGTGATATGGCTAGCCTCACGTCTAGCTGCCTTTGATTCACCAGCCCAAATGATCAGGCAACTATATACAAGTGGGGATGGGATTTGGCATGGATCTGGAACAAGGATTGAATTTATAGCTCTGGAGCTATAGTAAGGTACCTTACTAATTAAAGTTGGTTATCAAAAATAGAGCTGAAAAATCTACTGATGACATTCTCCATCCCATATCCTGACCAGTGTAGGACTCTCCTAATATGCACTGAATACAAAAGCTTAGTTTTGTTTAAATGTCTCACAGTAGGGCTTTCGTCACTATCCTTGGAAACTTAGTCCACATTCTAACATAACCTTATTATTATCAAATATTCCTTCACTCATTTTTTAATCACAAAACTTATAGTTGGAGCATCATAAACAATGCCTTTTCCTACAAATATTTCTAGAGACTTCTATCCCTCTCACCTCCTAGTTGTTTTTTAGCTAAGAATGACCGCGTTTACTCAAATCCAAGATGAGGGTCACCCCCATTTAAATAGCAAGGGGAAAGCTCCTTGTCTTGGATTCAAGTACAAGGTCGGGGTGGGGGCAGCAGGGGGCAGGCAGCTGCTGTGCCTCTGACTGACTCCAACCCAGGCTTGGCCTCAGGGTTGGGGTCAGAGTTGGAACTGCAGCTGCTATCCAACCCCCTCCACCTGTCCCCCTGTCTCTCTTCCCCTGCCATCACCTCCACCTCCACCTGCCAGATGGCTTCCCTTGCCTCACCTAACCACTACCCATGGGCAGATCTAGGATTTTGAAAGATGAGGGGCAAATAGTGTGGCATGTATAACACAACACACATTTCTACAGTTAAAGAGAAACTACAAGCTTTACTAATACTCAGGGGGACTAGCACTATATTATTCGGTTTAATATCAAAGCAAAAAACAAATACATCTGTTGGAATGTACACTAATTTGCTAGGTTACATATAAAGTTTTAAAAAATACTAGGTAAAAATAGTTAAAATAGTCAAAAGTTAGTGTTTCATTAGTTCTGTAGTCATTAAACTTAAATGTATGTCTCTTATTCAGATTCATAAAACAAAATCTAGCCTTCTTGAGCATCTTGACAGTGCCTCCAGTGCTTCACTGTCAGTCATTTCCATACATGAGACAATATTACCACACCTGAGTTAAGGTTTTCAGCTAGAGCTAAAAATAGTCTGCAGGAATGTGAAATAGGAGAGACATTACCAAGAATGGCTAACACAGCAACATTGCAGAAGAAAGGGTAGTTTGAATAGTGGAACATCAAGACCATTAAAAAGGATT